GCTCGGCGGCGCCAGCCTCCACGGCACACAGGACCTCCTTCATCCCATTTCTCCCCATCTCGCCCACATTCCATCGTTTCAATTCATATATCGTCCTCTTCCGCCTCCTCCGGTTCCTCCTCCTCCTCCTCCTCCTCCTCCTCCGCATTCCCCTCATCAGCATCATCACCATCATCAGCAGCATCAGCACCAGCATCACTATCATCAGCAGCGGCAGCAGCATCATCAGCATCAGCACCATCATTCTCATCATCATCACCACCAGCATCATCATCATCAGCAGCATCAACATCAGCACCATCATCATCAGCAGCAGCATCGGCATATTTCCTCATCATCCTCCTCCTGCTCCTCCTCTTTCTCCTCCTCCTCCTGCTCCTCCTCCCGTTCATCCTCCTCCTCCTCCTCATCCTCCTCCTCTTTCTCATCCACGTTCTCCTCATCCTCCTCCTCTTCCTCCTTGTCCTCCTCCTAATCCTCCTCCTCCTCCTCTCCCCTCCTTCTCCCTCCTTCCTTCCTCCTGTTCGTCCTCAGTCCTCCTTCCTCCTCCTCCTCCTCCCCCTCCTCCTTCTTCTCCTCTTCCTCCTCCTCCTCCTCCTCCTCCTTCTCCTTCTCTTTCTCCTCCTCCCCCTACCCCTCGGCTGCTCTGGCGGCGCTGCGGTCGGTCCGCATGTGCGCTGCGCCGGAAGCGGGCTAGCACGGTGACACCTCGTTATGGTGGCACGCTCGTCTCCACCATCCCGCTCCTCCTCCTCCGCCGCCTCCTCCTCCTCATCCTCTTGCGGTGGCCATTATCCGAGAGATACATCGACTAGTTGGAGTTAGGTGTTGAGGCACGGATGCCAACGACGATTCTGCCAGGAGAGTTGCATCGCAAAACATGCGTTTTCAGACGGCGCAGCGCAGGACGGCCAAAGTGCTGAGGTTGTGCGGGGCAGGTGCCCAAACCAGCACGATAAGCAGAAGGCTTCAAGCGGTTAAGCGGCCTGGGGCTCTGCGGCTACGGGTATTGGTGACCATAAGCTGCACAGTTTAAGAATGTCTGCCCTCAGGGCAAAGGGGTGGTCCCCCTTGGATCTTCAATGGGACGCCACGCGGGGCTCCTCGGGGCTACGGCGTAGGGCTACGCCGCGCGTGGCCCGTCGGTGCCCTTGGGTCGTTCACGCCGTCGAGGTCGCGAAGCACTGGGCCCTTGCGACTGCTTCGGGCCTCCTTGGGCACGACCTCGCGAGGGCTGCCTGGGAGGCATGCTTTGGCCTTTTTCGCAGAGCCCGTCCCTGGGCTTTGTGCGCACAACCCGCGCTGGAACCACGACGGATTCGGCGTTTCCGTCCACTGCTGCGGAGCCCCATATGCGATGCCACATTTGAGTTCGGGTTCTATTTGCGAGAGAGTTCGCGAGTCTGCGATTTCAGCCTTAGGGCGTCCTCTCTCGCTTTCTCTCTCTCTCTCTCTCTCTCTCTCTCTCTCTATATCTCTCTCTCCCTCAGGTGTGTGCCAGGTGCCTGGGCAAGCCAATTACACCTGAGTCCACTTCGCGAGTTCGTTCAGCAAGGCGACCTGGAATACTTGGGGTGAGCACCACAAGGCGCTGTCCGTGGATTCAAGCAGGCTTGTAAGTCACAACCAAGGCTAGCATGACGAGGGTCTGCGCCCCTGCCTGGAACGCATCAGGAGAGAGGAGTGCCCGTCCTTCTCGAAACGAGCAGCGCGGCCACTGCATGATAAAAGTGAGGTGCATGCTGGGCTGTTGTGTCGGTGTTTGCTCCTGTCTCCTCGCTGGCCCGTTCCCCAAGTAAAGCCAGAGGTTAATATCTGAAAGAGCGTGTTCTACCGCTGCTGGCGGAAAACCGGTGGGGGGTCGCTGGGGGTTCCTAACCCGCCCCCCCCTCGAAAACCGAGGGCGGGGGATTCTGGGGTGGCGGTCTGTGGAGCCACATGTTTTCAATGTCGGCCTCTCGCTGTAGCGCCGCGCACATTCTCTCCAAAATCTGATTCTCGCCTTAGCGCCGCGCGCATTTTTTTTGTTGGGTGGGGGGAAGTCCGTTTGTGGGCCAGTCACCCCAGGGGAACTCCATTGGTAAGCCAGCCACCCAGGGGTGGTCCACTGACGGTGTCCGTCCACCCCAAGGGTGGCCCACTGCTGGTCCCTCCACTGTCTGGTTGGCCCACTGCCGTCCACTCCAAGGACGCCCAATTGTAGACCCTGCACTCAGGGCTTGTGTGCGTGCGCGAGTGTGGAGTGGTGGTGGTGGTGGTGGTGGTGGTGGTGGTGGTGGTGGTGGTGGTGGTGGTGGTGGTGGTGGTGGTGGTGGTGGTGGTGGTGGTGGTGGTGGTAGTGGTGTGGTGTTGGTGTGTGTGCGCGTGTGCGTGTGTGTATGAGAGAGAGTGAGTGTATGTGTGTGTACGTGGACCAGGCCCCCAGGAAAACTCCATTCATGGGCCAGTCACCCAAGTGGTGATCCACTGGTGGCCCGTGCCTGGCCTTGCTTAGTATTGGTTGGTCGTGCTTGGCATTGCTTGGCCGTGCGTGGCATTGATCGAGCGTGCTCGTCGGGGACTGGCATTGATACCTCGTGCTTGGCATTGGGCGATCGTGCTTGGCATCGGTCGTGATTGACGTTGGTCGGTCTTGCTCGGCATTGAGTGATCATACGCCTGTGCAGCAGCGCAGCAGGAGGGAGACCAAGTGTTGTGCGAGGGCACTGGTGGACATGCCACACCAAGGGGGGGCCACTAATGAAATCTCCACACCAGAGAATTCTCCGCACCAGAAAGTCCACTGGCGGGCCCTCCACTCCAGGGGCGATCCAGCTCGGACCATCCGCTCCTGCGACTCCTTCCGCCCCCCTATTGCCAGGGGAGGTACGCTGGTAAACCCGTCCACTCCAAGGAATGTCTGTCTGTGGGCCAGCCACCCCAGGGAATTCCATTGTTGGGCCAGTCACCCAAGTGGTGATCCACTGGTGGCCCGTGCTTGGTATCGCTGTGTATTGGTTGGTCGTACTTACCATTGCTTGGCATTGCTTGCCCCGAGAGGCCCTAAAGGCGTATCCGAGAGGCCTTGGGGGGTGGGGCACCGAATGCCATGCACGACCTACCAAAGCCAAGCAGCGCCGAGTTCGACCGGCCAATGCCAGGCACGGCCAAGCAATGCCATGCGCGAGCACCCAATGCCAGGCTACGCAAAGTACGACCACACGACGCCAACCGACACCAATCATGAGCAAGCAATGCCGAGCAATGCCAAGCAGGACCGCCCATTGCCAAGCGATGCCAAGCCGAAATACGCAACGCCGATCAACGCCAAAAACAACCAGTAGAAATGGCAATCAACGCCAGGCGACGCATAGCATTGCCAACAATGCCAAGCAATGCCAAGGACGACCACTCATTGCCAAGCAATACCAAGCATGACCAATCAATTCCAGAGAACGCCAAGCACGACCACACGTTGCCAAGATGTGCCGAGCAGGAACAAGCAACGCCAAGCAATGCAAAGCACGAACACCAAATGCCGAGCACGGCCAACCACTTGTCGAGCACGACCGACAATTCAAAGCGGGGGCACTCAGTTCAATTCCAAGCAGTGCCACTGACGGCCTACCAATGCCAAGCATCGCCAGGCAATGCCAAGCACGACAACGAGTGCCAGACAATGGCATGCACGACCACCCAAGGCCAAGCAGCCCCAGGCGTGTTCATCCAACGCCAAGCAGTGCCAAGCGAGACCACTCAATGCCGAGCACGACCAAGTACTGCAAGGCGCGGCCACGCGAAGCCCAGGAATGCCAAGCAATCCCCACACAATGGCGAGCAATGCCCATCCGACCGCCAGTGTCAAGCAACTCCAAACACGGCCATCAAACTAAGCACGACCGAGCTATGCCAAGCACGACCAACCAATACCAAGCCACGCTAATCACGACCACTCGACGTCGAGCAGTTCTAAGCATGATCAACAATAATGCATCGCCCATGCCAAGACGGCAAACTCCCAGCTCTGGAGCGTCCCCCAAAAGGCTCAGGGTATCCAACGACGTTCCCCCACAGGCTTGCCCAGCAGACCCCGAAGCATTCCACCAATGGCTGCGAGGCCTCGACACACAGGCTGCGAGACCTCTCCCGCATGGCTGGTTGGCAACGCTTGGCATTAGTACCCCTCAATGTGCTTGTTTTATTCACATGAGGCCCAGGGCCCTGAATGTGATTGAAACAATCAATACCCCTCAATGTGATTGAGGTCCGAATATGAAAACAACCACATTGAAGCGCACCGGTTGTTTCAATCACTTTCAGGGCCAGGGCCCAGAGGCCTATTTCCCCACATGTTTCGTGGGGTTGTGGTTTTCTTCCTTGCCGCGTCGCACCCGCGTCTCACACCCGCACACACCTCCCTCTCCCGCAAGGCGTGGCAGACGTGACATACATACATACATACATACATACATACACACACAGACACACCGACACAGACACAGACACACAGACACACACACACACAGACACAAACACACACAGACACACATACACTCCCTCGCCCACGCGCAACACTTGCACGGCACGTACATGAGACACGCGTAGCACACTTCACAACACAGCGCAGCGCAGCACAACACAGCGCTGCTGAGCACAGCTCAGCTCAGCTCCGTCGCACGCTCGCAAAGCGCGGCAGGCGTGGCAGCTCCTCGACACCAGGGGGGGTGCGCAGGGGGTGCGGTCTCTATCCGTCGCACGCTCGCACAGCGCGGCAGGCGTGGAAGCTCATCGACACGTGAGGGGGTGCGCAGGGAGTGCGGTTTCTATCCGTCGCACACTCGCAAAGCGCGGCAGGCGTGGCATTTCCTCCACACCAGCGGGTGCGCAGGGGGTGCGGTCTTTATCCGTCGCACGCTCGCAAAGCGCGGCAGGCGTGGCATTTCCTCGACACCAGGGGAGTGCGCAGGGGGTGAGGTCTCTATCCGTCGCACGCTCGCAAAGCGCGACAGGCGTGGCATTTC